AAAATGCAGTTTTTCTAAAATAGGGAATGTGATTCCCACATAGGAGAGAGAGAAATTTTTGAAATTTTGCCCTACCTTCCTGCAGGGTTCGGCTATCCATATGATGGATCTCTCATCCCTTCAACCAGATGCACCAAAACACAGTTGCAGGGGTCAGGTTCTAGGCAAGCTTTCCTTTCTTGGATAGTCCCCTCAAATACCAGCCATTCACAAAATTTGCTACTGATTCTGAGCAACAGCCTTTCACCTCAAAAAGGTTCAACACTTTGGACCACACCTCAAAAGAAAACTTACAATGAAGCATCAAGTGACTCACAGATTCCTCGTGCTCCTCACAAAGCGCATAGTTAGCGGAGGCCAACTGCATGCCCTTCCTCACCAAATTGCCCTTGGTTAGGATTCTATTCAACATAAAGAAAGAAATCTTTGTGGGCACATTTTTGCACCAAACAATTTCGATTGGAATTTCTTGACCCTCCGAACCGGATAAACAATTGTAGAAGGATTTAACTGAAATGTTTTTTTTTTTTTGATTAGCAACTGAAAAGTTCCAGATTTGTCTCAAACTAAAAGCCTTCCATCCTCTCTTCCCATGTCCACTTGAATGCTATACAGCCTTTGCAGCAAATCAACCATTGCCTCTACTTCCCAGTCATTCAAATGCCTCCTGAACTGAGGGGCCCATATCACTTCTCCATTCTGCACTTGCATATTCTCAGCCACACTTGCTTCTTTGTTTGATGCTACCTCATAAAGGGAATTACAAACTTCCTTCAAAGGTCTGTCTCCACACCACACATCTTCCCAGAAGTTTACTCTAAGGCCATCATCTCCAATTTTGAACTTTACCCCTTTTGAGAAAGGGTGTTGCACTTTCTCAACCCCTTTTCCACATTGAGCACCCCTATTTCGTAATGTTGTTCATTCATTCATCTTAATAAAAAGCAATTAAAACTATAAAATCATTATTTTTTTGTGTGAGAACTAAGAATTCAAGACCTAACGTGGATTTGTTTGGGCTTGCCTCAAGGGGTGTGGCACAAAGGCGGCTCATAGAATCAGGAATCTAATATGTTTTACATCACATTAGCTACTTGAAGTAATGCAATTGAGAAAAAAAAGAGATTGTGGGTTTAATATGCTTGAAAATGTTATATTTGATTTTATTTTTAAATTCACATTTGAATATGCTTTACATGTTATATTTATGTATTTTAATTTTAGATAAAAGGTTTTTAAAACATTTATTTTAAAATTTAAGTTTATATTTTTATTAATATTATGTTTAATAATTTTTTGATTTTTTTGGCATTTTTTTTTTTATTTTTTAGCTTTATTTTTATTTTTATTTTTTGTGCCTTGCTTAAAAATGCACGCACCTCGCCTTGCGCCTTGCGCCTCGGGCGCAAGTTGACACCTGTGCCTTTTTTGCACCTTGCGCTTTTAAAACACTGCTCCTTTCCATGTGAAGGAAATTTGGTGTTCTCCCATTCCTCCAAAAGTCAGTGCTTATTGTTGGCAAGTGTTTCATGGTTGTATTAATATTTGTGATATAATCCAAAAGGAAAAGGCCAAATTGGTCCTTGTTCTTTTGTTGTGTATTTGGGATTGTTTTCTTCACTTTTTGGGTTCCCCTCCTGATAGGCTTGGAAGGGTTGTTTAGCCATCTACTTTTAGTTGCACTAAGAGGAGGGGCAGGATCTTGTGGAGATGTACTAGGGCAGTGGTGGTCTGGACGGTTTGGGATGAAAGAAACTCAAGAATTTTTAAAGGCAAAGAAAGAAACAAGGAAGCATTGATAAAGGTAATGACTTTAAGAGTGGCACACTGGGCTAGAACCTTGAATCTTTTCTCAGACTTAAAGGTTGAAGATTTCTTTCAGGGCTTGGGTGCAATAGTTGATTCCTCCTCCAGATGACAAAACGTTTATGTGGAGTGGTCACCACCAAGTTGTGGTTGGAAGAAGCTGAATTTTGATGTTAATTGTGTGGGCAACCCGGGCCTTTCAGGTATTGGTGGGGTAATCAGGGATGAGAAAGGAAACATACTCTCAATTGGGCAAGGTGATGTGGTTAGATTATAATTCTTGGCAGCAGTGTTTGGGGTGGAGAAAGTCAAAGAATTGGGTATTGAAAGTGACTTGAGAACAATTGTGGGTTGGCTGAAAAAGGTGGAGGAAGTGATTTGGAACCTAAGGAATGATTTTAGATGTTTCAAATGGCTATAAAAAGAAATGATGATCCAAGTTAAATGGGTTAGGAGATCTACAAACTGTTTGGCAGATGGTTTAGCTAAGCAAGGGGTTCAGAGACAATCTATGTATTGGGCTCACTTGTAATTTTTGGGATGCTTTAATCCCTTTGGTCTTGCTGTGTTTTTTCACAACTTGTTGTACTGCTCTTCTTTAATATTAATGAATTTTATTCTGTGTTGATAAAAAAAATGTTGGGGCATTTTTTTCCTGGGAATTGAGGATTTTGCAAGAAGAGAATTTTTGGAGCTGGAAAAAAGGGAGTGAGCTGTAGAAATGAGATGTGTACTATAGAATTGAGATCAAGCAATTCAGATGGATCATGAGAAACATGCAGCTTAAAATTTGTTGGGTACCTAGATCAGCGAACTCCCCAGTAGATGCCTTGGCCAAACAAGGAAGTTGTTATCTTTGATAGGGATGGAAGGATGAGTTTAAATTTCATTTAGTCAGTTGGAGCAAAGCTTGTAAACCTAAAAAGGCGGGAGGCTTAGGTTTAAGGAATGCGAGAAAGTTTAATCTGGCTTGTATTGGGAAGTGGTATTGGAGGTGGAATCAGTGATTTAAAAGGCGTGCCTGAGGTGCGCCTATGCGCATAGGTGAGGCGCATCTCAGGGTATGCGCCTCGCCTAGGTCCTAGGCACAACCCTTTCTAAACCCAGTGATTTAAAAGGCACGCCTTAGGTGCGCCTAGGTGCACAGGCGAGGCGCATTTTAGGGTAGGTGCCTCGCTCAGGTCCTAGGCGCAGCCCATTCAAAAGGCACACGCCTGGTGCGCCTTGCGCCTTAGCCCAGGCGTGTGCCTTTTGAGAATTTGCCACTTTTTCCTTTTTTTTTTTGAGTTTGGTGGCTGGGTTGGGCGTTTCGCCCTCAGACCCCCGTGCCACACCCCTCGAGGCCAGCCCAAACAAGTCCATGTTAGGGTCTTAAATTCTTAGTTTTCACACAAAAAATGATGATTTTATAGTTTTAATTGCTTTTAAGAAGATATTTTATTAGGATGAATAATGGACAACAAAACCAAATAAGGAGTTCTCGAAGCTCCGGTGAGCGAGCGAACCCTAACATGGACTTCTTTGGGCTTGCCTCGAGGTGCGTGGCACAAAAGCGGCTCGTAGAATTAGGAATGTAATATGTCACATTAACTACTTGATGCAATTGAGAAAAAAAGAGATTATGGGTTTATATGCTTGAAAATGTTTTATATGTTTGATTTCATTTTGAAATTCTCATTTGAATATGCTTTACATATTATGTTTATGTATTTTAATTTTAGATAATAGGTTTTTTAAAACATTTATTTTAAAACTTAAGTTTATATTTTTATTAATATTATGTTTTATAATTTTTTGATTTTTTTGATTTTTTAGCTTTTTTTTTTTAAATTGTGTGCCTTGCCTCAAAAAGGCGCGCGCCTCGCCTTGCGCTCAGGCGCAAAATGGCCCTTGCACCTTTTTTGCGCCTTGCGCTTTTAAAACACTGGATTTAATTCTCACTTCTTAGGAGAGGTTGCATCTCGTGCCTCTCCAAGGATTGCTTGTAATGCTTTCACTGTTTCATAGTAAAATTTCTTTTCATCTATAAAAGGAAAAAGACAAGAGTACATCTCTAACATGTTCGTCTAAGCAGACCAGACACATTGTTTACACAAAAAAATAACCTCTTATCTTAATGAGATTTTGTTAGGCTTAAGGGGTATCAGACTTCAGATTTCCAAACACCACCTAAAGAATGTATTTTTATGTTTACCTATAAAAAATGCACTTTTATGTTTGGAAGAAAGAGGGCATGTCAGCATGGACAACTGGTAGGAGATAAAGAAGAGCAGGGACAAATGGTAGGAGATGTGGAGGAGAGAGTAAACTTGATAAAAGATTTGAAAGCCACCTTAATGAGAGAGGAAATGAAAAGTCAAGAGAGATATGAATCAAAGAGGGGGATGGAAATACACATTTCTTTCATATGGTTGCAAACGGGAGGAGGAGAAAGAATTTCATATCTATGTTGAAAATGGAGAATGGTATAATTACACAACAGGAAGATATAGCAAAGGCCTTGGTTGAATCCTTTTAAATCAATTTATAGAAGGCCAGGGTTAGAGAGATGGAAGGCGGAGGGTTTAGAGTGGCCATCCCTGGATGGTCATTTGAGTAGAGATCTGGAAAGAAAATTTGAATTGGAAGGGGTAAAGGAGGCAGTTTTTTCTATGGATCATTCTAAGGCACCTGGACCTGATGTTTTTACCATGGCTTTCTTCCAAGATTATTGGGAGTGGATAAAAGGGGATTTAAGTGTTTGAGGAATTTTTATCATAGAGGGATCTTTAGTAGGGGTGTTAATGCTACCTTCATTGTTTTAATCCCTAAGAAATTCAGCGCTTGCCATCCAAAGGAACTTGGACCAATCAGTCTGGTAATGAGTCAGTACAAAATTCTAGCCAAGGTCCTTTCCCTTCAGTTAAAAAGGGTTCTCCCATCAATTCTCTCTCAATTTCAAGGGCCTTCATTCACGGATCAGCTACTTATCGCCAGTGAATGTGTGGAAGAGTTTAAGAATCAGGGAGAAGTTTAAGAATCAGCTGCTTATTGTGAGCCCTAGTTACTGTGAAGCTTATGGCTTGGAACTTTATTTCAGTGGTCCTGGAAATTCCTTTTGTGTAAATGTGTTTCTCTATTTAGTCACCCTTTACTATGATTTTCAGCAATCATTGCGCTAATGCTTAATGTCTGATTTTTTCATTGCTATGCAGGATCTACAACCAGAGTATAACCTTTTTGGCACTATTGTGCATTCAGGATATTCACCCGAGTCTGGTCACTATTATGCCTACATCAAGGTCTCTCTTTGTCTAAATGCTTTGCATACCTCTTGCACTTTTTTTTAATATTTTAATAAAGGTGCTTCATTTATACCATTCTTGAAGAAAGCAGATACTTGATATCTGTGAACTGATTTATTAATTTAATTTGTTTTATTCAGGATGCAATGGGCAGGTGGTATTGCTGCAATGATTCTCATGTATCAGTTTCAACCCTGCAGGAGGTTTTGTCTGAAAAGGTTTATATTCTATTCTTTGCTCGTGCTAATCAAAGAACAAGGCCATCCAAAACTGCCCCTACTTCCAATGGAGTAAAATCTCCTAATTGCAGTACAGTGCCAAGCCCAAAGACATCTCTTCCTTTGACAACAGTACCGTCAAAACCATCAGCTGTACGTTCTTTTGATAAGGATGCCTCTACTGTGTCTAAGATTGGTAAAGTGCCTCCAAACCCACGGGTTAGTTTCAACATCTCAAGAAATCCTGATCCAAAACGAGCTTATGCTAATGGAAATGGACACCTAGATGCTCATAAGAATGGAACTGCAGACAAGCATGAGAATTTGAAGGAATCATTTGGTACAGATAAAAGAAAGAAAGAGGTTCTGCCTACTAATGGGACTGGTTCTAGTGAGAATGTATCCGCTCATAGTGAAAATGGGACATTAATACTGCCAAATGGGAATGGTGAAGTCCAGCATATTGGTGTTAACTCAGTAAAAGTAGAAGTATCTGAGGACAATGGTATTCAAAAGACAGCAGCAGCAACTGGAAGTGCACCTGACCGTAACCATACATTTCACAATGAAGGTGACAAACACCCTTCTAATATCTTGGGGTTGAAGAGAAAGTCACTGGAGATTTGTCCTCTGCTTGCACATGATGCATCATCTCAGATTAAGCTTGAAAAATTTAAAGAAGTGTAAGTCATCCACCTTCTGGAGAAAACTTCAAGTGTTTGTTATTGGAGAAATGTTGGTGGTTAATCTCTGTTCAAAAATTGCACTTAAAATCTGGCGTTGCATTTTTTAGTTCTAATGACCACAAAAGTTCATCATCAATTCTTTTAGTCCTTGGCACCTGATAATGGTGATTGATTGAAATAGTTATTTCTCATAATCCAGAAGGTTAAGAATTTATACCAATTCATTGATGATGGAGTTGGTCATCGGTGATTAATGTGTCACATTTTACAGGTGACTGTGCCCTAGAAATTGCATAAATATAATGATCTAATTTCATGTCTTCTATTGGCGTTGTGTTTCCAAATAATTGAATTAGATGATGCTGTAAATTAAGCAGGTTTACCTTTTCCGTAGATAACAAAAAATTTTGTTGATAGAAGATTATAAATAAATAAATAAAAAGATTGATGAAAATGTTACCAAAAAGAGTAGTCCTGTACAAAGTACACAAAAGAAACCTCTTAAAAATATCTCAATTTCCCTAAAAAAATTCAATCATCTGCTCTTTACAGCCAAGAACCAACCTTTCACCAAAGCACTAATATCTGCAGAAGTTCTTGGAAGAGATAACAAGCAGTCAAGAAACAATGTCCACCAATTGGTAAAAATGGTAAAATAGTCCTTTTGGATGTGATATGAGTCAAGTATAGGTCCACCAATTGGAAGTTTTTGGACTGGTGGTATTTATACCCTTTCATGGTATTCCATCATAACTTCACTATATTGATTGAAGACTTTTGCTTCCTCCTATGTTCAATATTTGTAACTCACTGCATGAATAATATGAACTCTATACCTTTATATATACTACTGTTTTAAGTTGCAGTTCCTCAATTTGTGTGTTTTGAAAACAAATGTTATCCTTTCTCACAATATTTTGTGCATCTTTCAGGCTTGCAGAGAATGCACGTTCAGGTTTGCAATCATGTGGTTGGTACAGCAAAGTTCACAATTACATGATTGCCAAAAAGAAACAATGTACACGAGAAGTAGGCAACACTTCTAGTAACATTCAGATAAAGTAAGTTTATTTGTTTGTTGATTTTTATTTCAAACGTTCCTGGTTGCCCACTACCACAGTAGCATATGACACAATTTTAGCCTGAAATTACTTCATGTATTTTAACATTTTGTTGATGTTCATACTTATGCGGACTACTGTACACTTTACTTAATTTAGGTACACAATTCTTTGAAACAATTATGAGTCTTCCTGTTTGTAGATCATTTTGGAAAGATAAGTTTGAAGTGTAAACTTGTTCCACTCCTGATAAAGTATGAGATTATTATGGGGTTAAGGAGTTCCACAGTTATGTTTACTAGAAATTAGGAAACGTATGCATATGTATTGGGACCCTTGTTTGGACTGGGTTATGGTTCTCCCAGAGTTTGAGCAGTAGATAAAGCTTCTTTTGCCAATGGCTTCTGGTTTGTTAGATTTTATCCCACCTTCAACACCTATCCCCCACCTATTGGCCCCATTCTTCTCCTTCACAACATTGTGTAACAAAAAAAAAGGTAATGATTTGTTGAGGCTGGGGAGGTCTTCACTTTTCAAAATTCTTGTTTGACGTAGACTTGCTAATGAAGAAAACTGTTCACATTGGTTCCATGCCACCACTACAATAGCAATGAAACTGGATTGGTCAAACTCTTCTAATTTTCTTTTTAGAGCTACTACTCTGAGTGTTCTTTTCTGTTTATTTGTTTTTTTGAATTTTGAGTTGTTTTCTCTGTTGAAGTGATTGTCTTGCATCAACAGTGTATAACTTCTCACTTTGCTATACCTCTGCTATGAGATTTTGGCTCTATATTTAATAAGGAGTTGATGCACTAAAATAAATCTGCCTTGTAAAATTTTTCACTTTTCTATAATGCAGGGAAAGATTGATTTCAGATGCCAAATCAGTCTTTATCCCACAAATTCCTGAGTCATTGAAAGAGCACCTTGTTGAAAGCCTCAGATCATTTAGCCAAGGAAAATAGTTTTTGGATGTTTGAACCACTGACATGGTATATATATTAGCTTTATTGCCTTACCCTTTCATTCCATATTTTCAAGCAACATTTGCACCATTTAGTAGGGAGTATCATTTAATATGTGTTTTCCGTTACAGGCTCAGTATTGCCATCATAGCTGGTGTATAGTCTGTATTACTGATGGTGGATATCTCTCAATGACCTTGACTTCTTGTGTGAATGTCAACTGTAAGTATGTTGTATATATCTAACTAAATAAAAGATATCAAATTCCTTTATCATCAATTGGTTTTTTTTCTATCATAATTTTACTATATCTCTAGGTGTAACTGAGAAAATTTAGGTCCAAATTGGCAATCTGAATTAGGTCCTCATCAAGATTGGTTTCTTCTCCATCCAGGCTGTACATCTAGGATTTGGCAGAGTGAGTGCAGAGTTGTATTCGTTGTGTATGATATCCTTTTTTGACAGCATTTTTACCCAATCATCATTCTATGGACACCTACAATTTTTCCATCAAATATGTTCGGATGTAGTATCACAAGGATATGTTTCATAATTGAGTTTATCACTGAGTTAGATGGCACTTCCTTTCCTCATTTGGTCTCCTGGGACGCATTTCACTTTTTCTCTGGAAGAGTTGATTTATCTTGACGATCCATGACTTGTGACTGGCAAGTACTATTATATGCATTTAACACTGTTTTCATTTTCTATGCTGTTAGGATAACCAAGTATTCTCTTGATTCTGAAATTATAGTTGTGCTCTGGCTGAAAAGATATCAACAATAATGCGCTTGGGTCCTTATTTTAAGGTTTTAATGAGATTAAATTTCTTTCTCATTGTCACCTTTTGTAGTCTTACTTGTGGGTTCAGAACCTGACCCATATCTTATGTTTGATGATTTGAATCGGAAACTAAATAGATCCTTGGTTTATCTTTTTTCCACATTTGACAATGTTGTTTGTCTATCTTTATTATTTATCCCCATTAAGATTTGGCAAAGTTGTTTTTCTTCAGGTTGCTTTCATATTCTTTTCTTCTTCCCCTAGTGTTTTTGCTTAGTTTCTCTTGTGATGCAATATAAGCAACAACATAATTCTGATGTGTTATATAGTCTGAAATGTTATATGACCATGGCCTACTCCTCTCTCTATCATAAGTTGGAATTCTTTTATAGTTCATATCCCAAGCTTGCATTTAGCTGTTACTGCACATGCCTTTTTTGTGCTTTGTCAAGTTAGTCTTCCAATCCATCAAAAATAAGAACTAAAAGATGGGCAAATATTTGGTAGATTCAATTTGAGAATCTGTGTAAATGAGGAAATCCTCTTGTTTAAGGGATTATTTGCCTTTTCTCAAAAGATTTTGAGGAGGTTAACAGTAAATGGTTCCCTATAATAAAGAACAGGTTGGAGATACTTTTGCTTCGCAGCTCCTATGCTTACACATGCTCTTGTGTAAATGAGGAAATCCTCTTGTCATCATCATCATCATCAAGGTGCTGTTTGATAACTCTGAAGTTTGATGTTTGAAAAGTCAAAAGGCTAATTGCCAAGTCTGAAGTCTAAAAAGTGCCAGATATGTTTTTCTTCTCTTTAGAGCCTCTGAAAATATAGGAGCATTTGTGTTGGGGTGCTCTTCTAAATCTGAAAATATAAGAGCATTTGTGTTGGGGGTGTTCTTCCTTCATCTATTTCTTCTTCACCGAACCTGGACCTAGATTGCCCAAACTACTGAACAGCTTTGTCCTCCAGTGGAAAATGGAGAGCCACGAACTTCCGGTGGCCACTCTTACCTCCTTTTCTTCTTCTCTCCCCCCTTAGTCATAGCCATTGATATCGAACCAGTGGTACTAACTTCCCTATGTCCCCCTCTCCCATTCTCCTTATTCTTCTCTCCCATCCTATCCCTCTTCCTCGGCCTCAGTTGACGAAATAAAGCAGAATACACCATTCCTCTTCAACCTCCAAATGTCATAGAACACCACCATCATCGTCGATACTTGCAGTGCTCATTGGAGAAGACACGACACAGATGACAATGGAAGAAGATGGTGTTCTCTTCTATCGTTTGAGAAGAAAGAACTTGATTTATGGGCTTGAATTGAGTTTAAAAGAAGAAACAACACAGGCCATTTTGAAAAGTTTTAGAGGTATCTAGGACTGTGGCCAGGCTTTGAAATGCATTATGTGTTGGACCTTGTTAAGTGACTAGGCCATTTGAAAAGCAAGTTTTTCAGATGTTAGATGTCTGAAAAGTGTCATCAAATGCCACCTAAGCTTTGTCCCAAATATATGGAGTCAGCTGCATGAATCCTGTTTCACCATTCTGTTCTGTTCAGTGCCATATCCATTGTACATTTGCATCTCTTTTGGCCTTCTCCTAACTAGGGATTCCATTATTTGGTTTGACTGATCTTTTAATCCATCTGAATGGTGAAAACCAGTTTGACTCAATTAATCTGATAACGTCCTGAAGGGGATTCCTCCCAACACCAAATTAACAAAGACAATGTTCCGAGGTTTCTAATGCAAAAATAAGATCAATAGGTGGTAGATGGTTTCACCTCGACCCTTGCCAAGACAACACATAAAGGGTGACAAATACTAATTACGCTGTTGAGTTGATGTTGAAGCATATGTATGTGTTGATTTAGCAGGATATTGATAATATTGAGATGAGTGGGAGCAGAAGGTAACAAAAAAAAGTAGCACAAGAGAAAACACCACGAGGCACACTGCTTGAAATTCTTGCATCATTTCCTAAAAGGGAGTGAAGGCATCTTAAGAATGGAGATCGGTTCAGTGACCTTTGGATTCATGATCAAACAAATGAATTTTTGAACAAGGCACAGATTTAAGTGTTGGGATTTCTGTTTATGAGGACACCACACCACAGATCTTCCAAAAACATCGTGTTGAGCCACAGCCACTCAAATAATCATATATGCATAGTTGTCAAGGTGACACCTAGGCGACAAAGCGCCCTTTAAGGCTCGCCCTGCCTAATCGCCAAGCACTTTTTTACTCTCTATCATAAAATACTTTTTTGTTCATTCTTTTTTGAGATTATAATTATAAAATAGACATTATTAAACTACAATAATCATTTTGTGAGTTTATATTCTAATTTATTTTTATTATTTTCTTATTTATTAGGGTTTAATCAACACAAACATTGCTAAATGCTGTATTGAACCCTCAAAGACTTCAAAACCTGAACCAATAAGCAAGGAAGAACTTAAAATTTTATTTAATCAGCACATTTTCTTCTTCCATATATTCTTCCACTTCTTCTTCTTCTACTAGTAGTAGTAGTATTTTCCTTCATTTTCTTCTCATAAATATGTTGATTTTCTATACTTTAATATGAACTTTATACTTCTCTTTTGAAAATTATGAGTAATTATTAAGGAAATATGGTTATGGTACCTAGGGAACTACCCTAGGATCTATGTTTTTAACATAAAAAATCCACCTAGGCGCCCGCCTAGGCGACAAGGCGTCCCCCTCGCCTTGGCGCCTTGAAAACTATGCTTATATGTTGGGAGAAAAGAGGCTGAATTCTATGAATCTATAGGGGGTTGAAAAGAGTAGCACTTCTAATCGGACCAGCACCCTAGTTAGTGTTTTTTATCATTGAATGCCAAAGCTTCACCTCAAGCGTAATTCTCCTTAACCACTTTACAATAGAGCGATATTCCACTCCTTTAGTCTTTTAATACCCAAACCATTTTCAACCTACTTGCTAGGTCCTAACTTATGAAATGCTCCTTTGAATCACCTTTCTCTCACAGAAAGTTCCTTATCTGTCTTTGTAATCTCCTATTTCTCAGGGACTCTAAACATAGAGAGATAGTAGACTAGCAGGTTAGTCATTGTGAACTTAAGGTTATCTTGCCGCCAAGAGGGATATAGTTTTTCTTCCAAGAAGTTAGCAACTTTTGCATGGTTGTCGAGGTGTTGCCTAGGTGACTAGGTGACTAGGTGCCCTTGGTTGGGGACCTCACCTGAATACCTTTAATTATAGTAACTTGACACCCACCTAAGTGACAAAAATCACTTAGATTAAATAAAATGGTGGGTGCCTTATTATAATATCACTATGATGGCTACATCTTACTAATATGAGTGTCAATACATTCTATTGTTTATTATATATATTACTTATACTTTATTTTGAAGTCTTACTGTTGAAATATAAAATAACCAAGGGTTGTGAGAAGAGAAAAAAGAAAGAGAGAAGGATGAAAAGGTTTCTTTTTCTTTTGTTTTTCTTAGTCTCTCTCTCTCAGATTAAATAAAATGGGGGCTCTAYCTTTGTTCTATTTTATTTAGTCTGTCTTACATTTTTATCATATAAAATTATAAGACTTCTTTAGTTGATAATTTGATATAAAATTGCTCTATTAAACACATTATATTAGTATTAATTTGAAAATATTGAAATCAATGTATTAAAATACTAGAGCCCAGTACTTGGTGTAATGGTAAAATCTCAGACTGCCAAACGTTAGATTACTATACCTTTGAATATTTTATTGTTTATGTTTTGTACCCACTAAAAGAAAAAGCAATAAGTCTTTTGGTTCAAGTTCAACAACTTCAGCCATTATGTTTCCTGACTCTATCAGGAAAGAAAAGGTAGATGAATAAGTTTGGAGGCCACTGGGCCTTGGGATGAACCTGTAGTCTTGATTCAAATCATGATTCAGATTTATTGTCCCCATTGCCCCAAACTTCCTATGAGAGCTGTGATTTACCCCTCTAGTCATCTAGTAAAACTGTCATTTGATTGAGGCTGTCAGTGGATTGCTTCTGGTTTAGATCAAGCTAGACTTGGTCCCAAAACTGATAAGCATAGTTGTCAATGTGCTAAGATGAGGTTGGCTTGACAGTGGATACTTTACAGCCTAAGTGATTAGTCACCCACTGAGGCATCACCCAGGCGATAATTTTTGTATAAGAAAGTTGTGTGATTTTAGTTTGTTTCCCTACTGGCCTACTCTATTAGTCTATTTATTTGTTTGTTCCCCTACTTGGTGTAGCGACTTGAAAACATTAGGAGTGATCTAACATAAAAGATTCATAAACTAAAAGGAGAATAAGATACCATTATTAGCTTATGAAAAACAGAAAAAGTAGGAAATGGATCTCTATTGCTTATTTGCTTATATGTGTTAAATAAAATGATAGAAGAAGAAAACATAGGAAGGGATGGGGCCCTTGTTTTGAATGTAATAAAGATATAGAGGAGATGCTAGTATGTTAATTGAAGAGAAAAGGGAAAAAAATGAAAGAGTAGAGCCCTCATTCTGGTTATAATGAGAATGATAGATAGGAAAGAATACAAAGAATAAAGGAACGAAGGTGATGATGGCATAGCACATTTTACGGTTCTTTTAAGTTGAAGTTCGATCCTTTATGATATCCTTTTTACATCCTTTTACCTTTTCATACAATATGGAATGGTTTATGCGTTGCACCTAAAGCAATACACCTAATATATGGAAACATCAAGAGGCACAAGGTATCCCCCAATAACTGTGATGGGCATAAAAGAAAATTATGCTAAAAATTTTGTATGTGGTATTATCATAGTTGTCAAGGTGACACTTAAGCCATAAGATACTTTTGGAGTGTCGCCTCGCTGCAATGCCTACATATTTATATGTAAGACACCACATGATATTTTTATATTTTATTTTATGTTATTAATAGTACTACAATAGATATTATTAGACTAAATTATTCATATTGTGGGTTAATAGTATTAATTTTATTATTCTTATACTAGTTTCTTTTTATTATTTTCTTATTTGTTTGATTCAATCGATGCAAGTCAATGGCATAGCCTTGAACCCTTAAGACTTTAAAACGTGAATTGATAAGTAAGAAATAACTTAAAAATTTTATCCAATTGACACATGAACAATAGGACTTGATCACATCTTCT